AAACTTGTCCTTCTCTTTTAAATTTTCATCCGACTGCATATACGGATTGAAAAATAAATCAGTAGACGGTTCATCTCCGCCCATGTTGAAGTTTGTCATGTGCGGAGGTGGTGTGTAGATCTCGTTTGCAGGAATACTAGGTATGCCATCATCGTTGGAATCATCATTCACCATTTCATCAAACTCTAACTCGTCATCTTCTTCTTCTTCATCAACTGCATCTACCTCAGCTTGTTCATTCTCCAAAGGATCAACCACTTGTGTCACCTGAGGCTCTCGCAGCATAATGTACAACTCAATAGAGTCGTACCCAGAATACACATGGCTGGAAAACATATTCTGGAGATCCTCGTCATCTTGAACTTCAACCTTATAAAAAATTATTTGGTTGTTTCTAAAAAAAACTGGATTCTGATAAAATATATGTGTCACCGGGCCTCGTCCAAGTTTGGCCTCCAATCGTTTTTTGAAGTACGAGAAATTGGCTTTCCCGTTTAAAAGAAATCAGATGTTGTCTGTGTCTCTAAACAAAAACACAGAGGTGGGACAAATGTATGTCTCACCGTTGAAATGTGCTTTGATGACATATTATGGTGCAGAGGCCATTGCGTAGGGTTGTTTGAAGGTTTGAAGGTTGGAATGTTTGAAGTTTATGAGTTGTTTGAAGGTTTGTATGTTTAAAGTTTATTGATTGTATGAAGGTTTGAATGTTGTAAGGTTTGAAGGTTGGAATGTTTGAAGTTTATGAGTTATTCGAAGGTTTGTATGTTTGATTGTTTGAAGGTTTAAAGGTTTGATTGTATGAACGTTTGAAGGTTGGAAGGTTTGACAGATTAAGTGAAGTAGTGTTATGATAAACGTAAGACTAAAAAGGTCATACTGAATTTCAATTAAGTAAGGATGTAACCCCCAAGGCTGCCAATAGTGTTACATGCATGGCATCCCAAAGGCTGTCACGTAGCCTGTGCCTACTCTGCAACCAATGACACCTCTTATTCGCCAATTTGGATGGCGACACCTTTCATTTTTGTACTCTTTCGCCAAGTCCAATGGCGCCTCCCTTAATGTCCAATCATGTTACATGCATGCATATATGTAACCTCCTAGGCTGCCACCTAGCTTGCGTCTACTCTGCACCTACACTGTAACTTGTAAGTCTCCTCCCATCACCTCTAATATTGTTACATGCATTCAGGCATGGTATCCCAAAGGCTGTCACGTAGCCTGTGCCTACTCTGCAACCAATGACACCTCTTATTCGCCAATTGGGATGGCGACACCTTTCATTTTTGTACTCTTTCGCCAAGTCCAATGGCGCCTCCCTTAATGTCCGATCGTGTTACATGCATGCAGATATGTAACCTCCTAGGCTGCCACCTAGCCTGCGCCTACTCTGCACCTACACTGTAACTTGTAAGTCTCCTCCCATCACCTCTAATAGTGTTACATGCATTCAGGCATGGCATTCCAAAGGTTGTCACGTAGCATGTGCCTACTCTGCAACCAATGACACCTCTTATTCGCCAATTGGGATGGCGATACCTTTTATTTTTGTATTATTTCGCCAAGTCCAATGGCGCCTCCCTTAATGTCCAATCGTGTTACATGCATGCAGATATGTAACCCCCTAGGCTGCCACCTAGCCCGCGCCTACTCTGCAAGAGTGACACTTCTCATGCATGCATGCACCAGCTACCACTTCACTCACTCTATGAAATTTTTTTGCCTATAAATACAGACCATATCCAACTTCTCTCACACCCACACTCGTCTCACTCTCTGCTACGAAGTCTTTCATAATCTCTTACACTTTCTAAGTCTTTCATAATCTCTTACACTTTCAAAGTCTTTCATAATCTCAAGCATTTTAAACAATGACTCTTCTAACAATGGGCGATTCTCACAGAGGCACAAGGGAAAACATTGCCGCATTTGTAAGTTTCTAATTTGGTTATACATTATTTATACTTAAGGTAATGCTATGTTCATCTTACTTAATCTTACATCTTTTACATTATTAACTCAGGATACCAAAAGATTCAGAATTCGGTCTCACAACTACCTGGCTCCCGACCCATTTATCGTACCATATCTGGAATACGCAGGTTTCGAACATGTTATAAAGATCTCCAACTACACAATTGATTCGAAGTTCATTCTTGCAATGTTGGAAAGGTGGAGACCAGAGACCCATACATTTCACCTACCAATAAGTGAATGTACCGTTACGTTAGAGGATGTGTACATGTTACTAGGTCTCCCTGTCGACGGTAAGGCCGTGAACGGGTCGGTTTAACAACCCAATTCTCAGTGTGAAGAATTGTTAGGCAGGGATATGGTTGAAGGTGGTGGTGGGAGAGGTCAAGGAATACTACTCACTGAGCTTAAAAATCATTATGCAAGTTTGGAATTAGACGAAAATTCCTCCGAGCAAGACAGGGTAGTAAAAGCCAGAACTTATCTAATGATACTATTTGGTACCTTTTTATTTCCCGAAAGTACGAGAAATAGTATAAATTTTATGTATTTACATTTACTTAGAGATTTTGAAAAAACAAGAAAGTATAGTTGGGGTTCTGCAGTTTTAACCCACCTATACAGTTCCTTGTGCAAAAATGCAGTCAAGGAAAAATGTACATTTTATGGCTGCTCTTTTTTACTACAAGCCTGGGGTTGGTGGAGGATGGAGTCCTTAAACCCCGTCAACAACAACACTTTCGTTTTCCCGTACGCAACAAAGTAAGTCATCAAGTTATATCATTTATTACTATTCATCTCTTCACCAAATATATGCTAAAAATAAAATGTTTTTTATTTCCTTTAGGTATTGCGTGAGGGGTATGGATTACGGCAAGAATCCAAGATTCAATGTCGCACTGTACCGCAATCTGTTGGATCACTTAGGCCTGGATGATGTACGTCGTACCTTTAAACTTTTCTTCATTTAAATTATTTATATATTACGTTTTTGTTAACCTGATTTAAATTTTTTCACAGTTCGTCTGGAGACCATATTTGGGTTTGGGCCATGAACCAAACCCCGAGGATGCAGCAATTTGGACCGCGAAGACTGCAATCATTCGGTTCAACGTTATAGAGATGCACCACAGCGACCGTGTGAAGATGCGGTTCGGAATGCATCAAGAGATACCAAGTGATCCAACTTGTTTGTCCCCATGGAATCTCAAAAGGGTCGATGCCCAGTGGGGTCTTACCAACTGGAAAGACTTTGCTCCGGAATGGTGTAAGATGTGGCAGAGGCGTCACCGATATGTCTTGTAATTCCCAGTTTTCCATATTCATGGTAATATGCGACACACGGATCAATATTTATCTTGGTACAGGTCGGTTAGTAACCCTGAAATGCACGTGTCTCATCCAAGGTACTTGGTTGACCCACGCACACAATGGGCACAACCCTCGTTTCCCCAACAACAAACCTAACACACATCAACTTCCCACCAACCCCCCCAGAAGAAACAGAACCACAAACACCCAACCACAGTCCCCACCACAATACAATTACACTCAAATTCCCCACAACCAACCACAATCACCACCTCAGTACCAATACCCCAATATGCCTCACACCCAACCACAATACCAATCACAATACCAACACACCCGCATACCCCACACACAATTTCAATCTTCTATATATCCTAATATGGGCCCCTCAACATCCAGCCTTAGCCCTGATTTGGGAATGTCGGAAGATTACGAACAAACCGACCCAGCCTACCATCAACCACAATATCACCAAACCACCCAACATCCTCAATACCAAACACCCCAAGATCCATTTCCTTTCTACCCCCCGTACTCAGACGATCAATGCTACAGACCCACCATGGAACCCCACCCACCGCCAACACGACAAAACTTTAAGGGTATGGGTAACCGACTGTACCAAAGCGGATCTTCTAGATATGGAGATCTGACTGATTTCATGGATCCGGAACGTATTGACTTCGCTGGGCCATCGACCCTGCTACAGCAGGAAACGCGACGACACCCAGCACGGGAAAGGCGAGGACGGGGATGCGGAACCGGGGGTTATTACCGGGTTCCGGGGGATCACTGATTTATCTATTTTTTTATCTGTTTTTTTTTATCTGTTTTTTTATCTGTTTTTTTAATGTAATACATTTGGATGTAATTATTATTTTTTAATAAAAAATCAATTTTGTTGATCCTGTATCTAATACGCAACGCACCGGACCGAAAAAAAGAAGCGAAATTTGCCCTAGAATTGTACTTAGGCGCCATCTCACTTGGCTTAGGGCATGCCCTAAGCATATAGGCGCCAAGTGAGATGGCGCCTCCCCTTAAATAATGGGTGTAGGCGCCAAGTGAGATGGCTCCTCCTTTGGGGAGTCATCTGAAACATGGTTATTTGCGTAATTTTTTCCGAAACGCGGTTATTTGCGATTTTTTTTTTCAATACTTAGTTATTAAAAAAAAAATTCAATAAATGTGCATACAATACCATAAATAACTCCTTCGTAAGCACGAGTTTTACTAATTTTCTTTTATGGTACAGTGAATTGTAATATTTTTACTAACAAGAGTCACACATATGTTGATATTACATATTTGAAATTGTTCAATGTCATTGTTTTATAAGGCGTATTTCCTTTTATTACATTATTAATATACAAATATCTTAATTACATATAGTAATTATTATTTTACTTTCAAACTTTAATTAGGTCTTAGAGTTGACTCCAATGTGAGTTTTCAATTTTAATTATAATGAATGATTACAATGTACTTTATCTCTTGCATTTAAAATATGATTCAACAAATAATATAATTTTTAAATTATAACAAAATTAAAATGAACATGTTGAAAGTAAATTATCTTTAAAAAGAAGAAACCTATATATATTTCTCCCATGATTAATTATTTATTTATTTAGATATAACTATAACTAATATATTAAAAACATCTTTATAATAAACAAAACCCCAACTTGCTTATTGTTGTTGAATGGTTTTCATATGTTGTGTTGGCCAGAACACTCTGTTCCTGGTCTTTGTCCTCCACGACAGAGAACAACATTTGTTGGGCAGTTGAGACAGTTGTTTCCAAGACTTACTTTAACATTTTTTAATGTGTGAGTAAACTCTAATGGAAGTTTTCCTGTAAGAAAGTTGTGATCCAAGTATAATTGTCTCCAGAGTGTGCTTAGTTTTTGTCCATATTCTTTTGGAATAATACCATGAAATTGATTGTTTGATAAATTTATAGTAGTCAAGTTTGTGAAGCTCACCAAATTTATAGGCAAATTACCCCTCAAATTGTTTCCTTGTGCCTCAAGTAAGTGAAGTTGTGGCCCTTGTCCAGAATAATTAATAACATCCATTGATGCGAATCTGTTAAAAGAAACATTAAGGTGAATAACTTGTCTTAAGGAGAAAATGTCTCTTTGTATAGCACCTGAAAGTCTATTGTCACTTATATCTAACCATCTAACGTGTATGAGATCCTTTAGAGGTGTCAAGGGTCCTGAAAATATATTATGGCTGAAATAAATGTTTCTTAAACTCACTGGAAGATTTGGTAGATCACCAAAAAATTGATTGAAACTAATGTCTAATGTGTTCAATTGCCATAACCCAGTGAGATTTCGGATTCTACCTGAAAAATTATTGTTAGATAAACTCAAGTATGTTAAGCTTCTCAAACTTGTCATATCATAAGGGATTGTGCCTGAAAACCTATTCATTGAAAGGTCAATATATTGAAGTTTCTTAAGTTCACCGATTTCTCGTGGAATGGCACCAGTGAAAAAGTTATTGGATAACGAGAGTCTAGTGAGTTTTCTCAATTTTCTAATGGTTTCTGGTATTGGTCCTCTAAACTTGTTATTGTTTAGATTTAATATTGTTAACTCTGTTAAGTTTCCAATAGCTGGTGTTAAGAATCCTTCATAACCAATTCCATCAAGATCAATTGCTGTTATTCTACTAGAGGAGTTATCTAAAGGCAAATCACATAATATTCCAAGAAATTGAGGACCCTTGCTTTCACACGGGTCAACTTTGAAGTCCCAACTGCGAATATAAGAATATGGAGCAATTGAATTAGGATCAATGGCATGTGCTATTTCACGAAGAGAATTAATATCATCTTTGAGAGTTAATGAGTGGAATTGTGATGGTATAAGATATAAAATTGTGGCTATTATGGTTAAAAGAGAATTAGGAGATGAGACAAAATTAGTAGGTGTTTTTTTCACCATCCTCTTGAAGAAATGTTGTTTTGGTTTTGATTTGTGGTACGTTGTTTGTTGTTATGAATTTCCAAATGCTCTTTTATAAGATCATCATGGTATATGATTCCAAAAAAAATATTTTATATATAAGTAAAGTCTTGAGACATGCCAAGAATACGGACTACCTAAATACAAAATCTTAAAGATTAAGCAAATGAACTTATTATGTTTGGACAAAAATCTTTTGATCTTAGTGGTTTATCTTGAACACTCTTTGCAATGAATGACTTTCTTGAAAATATAAAATCACACATTCTTCTACAAGAAAATGTTGTTTTACAAAAGAAGTTATAAAATGCAATCAACATGCACAACGGAAAACAACCTAACCCATAACTTCGATATATTGTTTGGTTAAATGGAAAGGATGGTATAAGAAATGAGTGTAATTAAAGGAATGATAAAAAAAGTGTTTTCTCCATTTGATTATCTCAAAGCAGTACAAAATTAGAAGTATAATTAATTTATTTAAAATTATTGAATAAAATTGTATATTTAAATATAATATTATTTATTTGATCTTAATTTTTTTATTACAGGACTAATAATAAAGAAAAATAACAAACTAATTACGAAGACAAGTTTAATTTGTCTTGGTTTGTGAATGAAGGTTTTTTTAAGAAGAATTTTTCATTTCTAATCATTTTTATATTCAATTGTGGCATAAGTTTTTTTTTCTTCATTTTTCAAATCTTCAATTTTTTCCTCCGTTACTTTATATTCACTAAACAATTATTAGATAATATTTTATTTTTGTTCTTTACACTTTCTCTCGTACCAAACACTTAAAAATTATATAGCTTTATATATCCAATATAAATTACAAGAGAATATTTTTATTTTAAGTGAATGTACCTACTAAACTTGAATATATATCTTTTAACTTTAATAGTTCATTTTGAAGACTCTTTGTATTGAAGGATTTTTTTTAAAATGAAGTCATGAATTCTTTTACAAGCAAATGTTAGTTTTTCAAATAAAGTCATATAATGTAATTATCATGCACAAAAAATAACTTAATTCCAACTTTAACACATTTTTTAAAAAGAAGAGGAAATATATTATGAGAGAAGAATATTTACATTTTTTTATTTTTGTCTGTATGCCTAGTACTAAACAACTATAAAAATTCTTCATTTATGTTTTCTCTCTTTTTTATCTATTTTTCTTCTTCTCTCTTTTATTCATATACTTTTCATTATAAAATCAAATAAAACACAAATGATATCATGAGCAATACATGCTTTCAACCTGCACAACAATAAATAACCTAATCACAACCTTATACGTTGTCATGAGTAACACATGCTTTGAAAACCTTTCAAATAAAAGGTCTTACAAGTTAAGTACTTCTAGTTCTACTAGTTAGTTATACCATCAAAACATATTTTTACATTCTCTAGTTTGATATCGAATTCACATATTCAAAATTAAATTTTCATGCATGGAGAAAAGAAACTTACTAAAAGATGAAACATTTCTTCAACACCCATATATTCTTTCTATTTTTATAATTTTGAGTTTTGTTGTGATGGATCCTTTTCATATGGGTCCAGTATCAGAACATGAATTTAGACCTGTGAAACACGACATTGCACCGTATAAACAAGTCATGGAAAATTGGCCTAGGGATAATATGAGTAGGCTAGGAATTCATGGAAAATTAGAATTTGAAAATCAAGTATTTGGACCAGAGTCACTCGAGTTCGATAACACGGGTCGCGGCCCTTACACCGGTTTAGCTGATGGTCGCGTTGTTCGATGGATGGGGGAAGAACATGGTTGGGAAACATTTGCCATTGTCACGTCTAATTGGTGAGTATCATCTCCAGAAAAAAAAATCATTATACAAGATTCATATCTCAAGCTCATTTATTTTAGTTTTTGAAGAAAAAAAATTAACTTTTAAAGTCGCAATTCCTCTGACTATGTGAATATGTTGTACAAGAATATATGTTAATATTTTGGTGTATACGTATTTTCATACTAATAACACATTTTATTTTTTGAAGGACTGAAAAAATTTGCATGAGAGGAAATGATTCAACGACATCAAAGCAATGGAAGCATGAGAAAACATGTGGGCGTCCCCTTGGCTTAAGATTTGACCAAAAGAGTGGATATCTATACATAGCAGATGCATATTATGGTCTTCTTATGGTTGGACCAAATGGAGGATTAGCTACACCATTGGCAACCCATATTGAAGGGAAACCTATTCTTTTTGCAAATGACCTTGATATTCATAAGAATGGATCCATCTTCTTCACAGACACCAGCAAAAGATACAATCGAGTGTAATTTCTTCTATTTATATATAGTTATTATTATCTTCACTAAAACCTAAACTATCGTGTATTGACATGAAGTTTATATTAATTTATATTCAACTTAGTCTTTATGATGTGTGCTATTGTTTGCAGTGCACACTTCTTTATATTATTGGAAGGAGAAGCAACGGGTAGGCTTCTAAGATATGATCCTCCAACCAAAACAACCTCAGTTGTCCTAGATGGTCTTGCTTTTCCTAATGGAGTGCAAATTTCAAAAGATCAATCATTCCTCATATTTACTGAAACCACCAATTGCAGGTCCTTTATTACTTATCTTTCTAATTTGGTTTCAAGTATGCGTAATTGAAGTAACACTATTAAGGTTTATGGTTATGGTATAATATTATATTTCAAATTTTAATAGGCCTTACACCAAACTACAATTATATAGGATCTCTGTTTGATTAACTAATAATTAATTATTAAAAAATTATAATGACAGGCTAATGAAGCTTTGGATAGAAGGTTCTAAATCTGGATTGGTGGAACATGTAGCCGACCTTCCGGGATTTCCAGACAACGTAAGAATAAATGAAAAAGGACAGTTTTGGGTGGCAATAGATTGTTGTCGCACTGGCGCTCAAGAAGTTTTGAGTAACAATCCATGGTTGAGGAGTATTTACTTTCGCTTGCCTATAAGGATGAGCATATTGGCAAAAGTGATGGGGATGAAAATGTACACTTTAATTACACTTCTAGACGATAAAGGAAAAATTCTTGAAGTACTTGAAGATCGAGAAGGCCAAGTGATGAAATTGGTAAGTGAAGTTAAAGAGGAAAAAGGAAAACTTTGGATTGGAACAGTAGCTCATAACTATATCTCAACCTTACCTTACCCTTAAAAATATGACTTTATCATCATTAAATTAAATTTCTCTTTGTTAACATTTCTTGTATCTTTGATTAGAATTTTCTTTTTAAGTAAAATTAAATCAAATGATAGAATTGCTTAATTTGTATTTGTCTAACAATATTTTAGTTAATCAAATAATTTTTTCACTCTATGTTATACTATGTAATATGTTAGATTTATCTAATATTTTGTGGGATGCAATCGATTGTTATTTTAGGTTGTAATAACGGGTTAATCATGATTCTGATGGGGTGCATAAGTAGGCTCATTTGTCAATTAAGCGATCCTTTTAATTAAAGCTTAAGTATATGAAACCTTATTGATGTGGGTAAAAGTGTGGGTATTAACCTTGGCCCATAATGGGTAGGGACTAGGGTTATATATTATGTAGCTAGGTCACCTCTGTAATCACAAAATCAGAAATATAATTGACGGCTCCACAACTTGCTTCATTGAGGGCTAGAATGAGAGTGTGAGATATATAGGAAGATCTAGTCACTCGTCTTTTCTGAATTCTGAATCAAGATGATAAGAACGACAACCCTTATTATCAAAATCATGACTTCAACAAATAAGTGTATGTTGGATACCAGAATAATATTAAATAATAGTAACACAACTAAAATATGAGGAGAAGAGTATAAAAACGAGAAGAAACACAATTAATTCAAACTCAGATTATTATAGGATGATTGTAAAACTATAATATGAGCTCTCTATTTATAAGAGTCTCATGTATTATAATAAGTGATTACATATTTAGTGAATGTTGGAACAAAGGATTCAAGAAAGATCATTTTGTGAAAACAAGAATAAGAAGAAGGAGAGAGAGAGAGAGAGAGAGAGAGAGAGAGAGAGAGAGAGAGAGAGAGAGAGAGAGAGAGAGAGAGAGAGAGAGAGAGAGAGAGAGAGAGAGAGAGAGAGAGAGAGAGAGAGAGAGAGAGAGAAGAGAGAGAGAGAGAGAGAGAGAGAGAGAGAGAGAGAGAGAGAGAGAGAGATTGTGAGTTAGTTAAGTGTAACTAACTATCTAACTGAATGTATTATGGCTACTTTGATTACAAACATAATGACCCTTTATATAGGCAAAATACCCAGCCCAAATACACATGCTAAAAGCTCAAATAACTACATCTCGATGCCTTTCTTTAACTCTTCGAACCTCACTTTCTTCAGAGGTTTGGTGAATATGTCAGCTAGTTGCACTTTTGTCTTGCAATGTTTTATTTCAAGCTTCCCTTTGTTGACTTGATCCCTCAGAAAATGATACCTTCTTTCGATGTGCTTACTTCGACCATGACACACTGGGTGATTCGCAAGGTTTATAGTTGACTTGTTATCAACAAACAGCTTCATCTTCGATTTCATTATTCTGAGTTCTTCAAGTAGCATTTCGATCCATGCTTTTTGGCATACAACATTTGATGCAGCCATATATTCTGCTTCATATGATGACAAAGCCATAATGCTTTGCTTCCTTGAACTCTAGGAGATTGGAGCTCCTTCGATCATGAAAATGTATCCTGCAGTACTCTTCTTTTCGTCTTAATCTCCACTGAAATCTGAGTCAGTGTATCCACGAACTTCGATATTTGAGCTGTTCTTTGATTTCTTTGGTAACAAAACACCATGATCAACAATTCCCTTTATGTATCTCAACACCCTCTTTACTGCGATGAGATGACATTCTTAAGGCTTCTTCATAAATCTGCTCAACAATCCTACACTTTGGTAGATATCTGGTCTAGTATTGCAAAAATACCTCAAGGATCAAATGATTTGTTTGTAAAGGATCGAACTTACAAATTCATCACTCGATTCCTTTTTCAGCTTTGCTCCAGTCTCTAATGGAGTAACATTTGCCTTACAGTTGCTCATATTGAACCTCTTCAGTATATCTTGAGAATACTTTATTTGATGTAAGAAAACTCCTTCTTTGATGTCTTTGAATTCCATTCCCAGGAAATAGGAGAGATTCCCTAAATCAGACATTTCGAATTCCTACATTAACTTCGACTTTACCTTCATTATCTCAGCTTCGTCTGCTCCTGTAATGAGTAAGTCATCAACATAGAGGCATAAGATGATTCGATTGAGACTTTTGACATCATTTACATACATTCCATGTTCAGAGACACACTTTATGAAACCTGCTTCGATTAGGAAGCTATTTATCCTTTTATTCTAAGCTCTAAGAGCTTACTTCAAGCCATATAGAGCCTTCCTTAATCTGTAAACTTTCGACTCCTTCTCTTTGACGTCGAAACCTGGTGATTGAGTAACCTTCCAATGGACCATTCAAAAACATTGACTTTACGTCAAGTTGGTGCATTTTCCATCCTCTACATGCAGCTATCGAAACAACAATCCTGATTGTTTCGATCCTTGCAACAGGCGCATATACTTCATCGAAGTCTATACCAGGTTTTTGTAGAAAACCTTTGGCCACCAGTCTTGCCTTATACTTTGCAATCTCACCATTTGGCCTTCGTTTCACCTTGTAGATCCATTTCACATCGATTGGTTTCTTGTTGGTTCTTTCGACAAGCTCTCAAGTCTCGTTCTTCTCAATGGCTCTAAGTTCTTCTTTCATGGCTTCACACCAATTCGAATTTCTCAAGGCTTCGCCCAAATCAAATGGTTCTGCTTCAGCCATCATCATGGCTTCTTCGATTAAGTCACCATCTGCATCAATTGCTTGATCTGGAAACCTCTCATATCCAATCAGCCTAGTCGACTCAGTTCTTGTTCTTGTGGATCTTCTTTCATTCTGCACATGTGGTTCTTCATTTTGACTTGTCGAAGTATCACCTTGTTCATTTCGACTTGTCGAAGATTCAAAATAACATCACTTTGTTCTTCCATCATCACCGTCGCCAACTAGTATTACTCTCCGTTAACGATTCAGTAACTCATGTAGCAATGGAAGCAATTGCAGTGGAAGAGAGGAAGATGTTCACCTTTAACGACCGTGAATCTTGCGTTTCCTTTGAGTTTGTTAATTTAGGGAGGTTCTGATCCGTATGATTGAAGAAGAATTTGAAAAATATGAGTTTGGATTCAGTTTCTGTGTGGAAAAAGAGAGGGGATAGTGTTGAGAGTTTTGATTTTTGAGGTGTCGCGAGGGTGAACTCGCCGGAGAAAATGATGGTTTCTGCTGTGAACCACCGCGAGCCGCCGCTCACTTTATCTTCTTTGACGAGATTTTTTTTCTTTCGAACCACCTTTAGTTGCAGACCTCTATCTCCAATATTATTGTTCAACTTTAGCAAAAGTCATAAAATTTATTTAGCTTTATTGTAAAAGACTCATTTTTATTAAATTTTTGATCATATAGTATTTGGTTTGAATTGAGATTCATGAAATAAAAATAAAAAATTTACATATATTTATAAAAAAATATAGTAATAAATAAAAAATTAAAGTGGCATTATTTAAAAATATAAAAATTTAAAAAAAATTACATAATTCACCACGTCATTTTTTTGCTGATTGAATATCATAAAAGATTAAAATAAGAAAATCTGCAAAAACCTAGGAGAAAATTAAAAAAAAAAAAAAATTATTGAATTTTTTTCAAAGACAAAATAACTATTAACCATAAAATTTATATTTGAATGAATAAAAATTGTCCGAATTTGTTACGGTTTCCAAGATTAAAATGACGCAGATAAGCTCGTTACGTCAGATACACTCACTACAATTTCAAACATCAACGCAAACTTTATCCGAATAGTATTTTATTAAATAAAAAATAAATATAATAATAATGATTTCTCACCAATAATAATAATAATAATAAAATAATGACGAGATATGATTTTATTTCTGAAAAAAGCAATGTTAACGACCGCTTTATGATCATCGAAGATTGCACAACGAACAAGTTCAAGTTCAATCAATTTTTTGTTGTTGAGAAATTCAATCAATTTTAATTCCTCACTTTGAAGTGTGAAAAAAAATGCTCAAGTTTCGTTCTCTATTGCTCAAATCAAAATCAAAACCAAAACAACGCAACGCGCTCGCTATTGTTCGTAAACTCATTTCATCTCAACCTCTCAACACATTCCATTCCAGAAACGCTTTCTCGTTTTCGAAACCACATGCATTCGCACGTGCAAACTCTAGGGTTCCGATCTCGCGTAACTTCTGCACCGCACCGGAAAGAGACACGCTCGATTACGACGTCGTCATCGTCGGAGCAGGTCCCGCCGGTTTATCGGCGGCGATACGGTTGAAGCAACTCTGCCGAGAAAACGACACCGATTTATCTGTTTGCGTTCTCGAGAAAGGCGCTGAAGTCGGTAAGCTAACGAAACTCTCGATCTTTCTCAAGTTAATTGTTGCTTTCTGTTGATTTTCTGATTTTTGTGATTTTCTGGTTTTCTCAGGTGCTCATATTATTTCTGGAAACGTTTTTGAACCTCGCGCATTGAATGAACTTCTTCCGAAGTGGAAGCAGCAAGATGTGTGTTTCTTCGTAATTCAGCCTGCATGTAAATCACGCCGAGCCACCGTGATAGAGTTAACAAAATCACGGTGGCATGGTGTGATTCAAACATGCAAGGTTCTGATTTAATTTTTGAATTGCATTGAGTTTTTTTCTTTTGTCTGCAGGCTCCGATTTCTACACCTGTTACTTCTGATAAGTTTTGGTATCTGACAAAGAATCGTGCAATTTCACTTCCGAGTCCTTTTGACAATGAAGGGAACTATGTAATAAGGTTTTATAACTCGCATATTAATTTCATACAGCTAGAGTGTTTATGTAATTAAAAAGTATGGTTGGCCTTGGTTTATCTGTTGAAACTTAAATTGTGCATGGATTTCTGAATATTTTCACTTATTGCTGAATCTACTATGCTGAAACTGTTGTTTTCTTTTTCCTTATTTTTAGCCTATGAAGTACGGACTTTGACACGGACAACGGGACACGACACGGACACTCTGACATGGATAATATCAAAAACATAGGGCACCGACACCCTACGTATACAATTGTATTGGAACTTCATTTATTCATCTACTATTAAAAGATTTAAAGATATCTTAATCAAAATTATTGTCTTTGCTTTTTTATTGATAACATTGCTTCAAAAATGCATGTTTAACCCTTTTAGTTGGGTATGAAATTTGTCTTAAAAAATGTATAATTTGTGTTGTAGCAAAGAAAAAAACTAATTCCTTTTGAAACGCTTATCTAAATTGTTTGACACGTGTTGTATGAGTTTCAAATGGGTGTCAAACACCAATTTAAAGAGTGTCGAAACAAAGAAAATAAATCATTTATTTTGGGACACTTGTCTGACTTTGCCGACACTTATTTGACTTTTCCGACACGTGTCGTACGAGTGTCATACAAGTGTCGGACACCGCGACATGCTTACTCTTAGAGGTGTCCGTGCTTCATAGTTTTTAGCTTTATAAGTTGCTGCATTTGATTTCAGGTGTATTGGTGTTTTAACCCTGGAGACACTTCATTTTTATCAAACAGTTGGTCTGCACCATTAGATATAAATACTGCTGGTGATTGTATTGTGTAGAAAGTTGTAACTTCAAATTTTAATATGGAGACGGTGACAGGCATACAATCTGTTATCTTTCTGATGACACAATGCTCTTATATTTGTAATTTCCGTGTTTATTAAAGAAACAAGTTCCCTGTCATATTCTTGCTTCTATTTTTTTCCTCATTAATTGATGTAAAATTCAAAATTAAAAGATGCCTTTTCTCCAATTATTGGATGCTTGTCAAGTTTGCAATGTTTTTGTTCACATATTTTTCTTTCCACTTCCAAAAATTTACTCTGGACCATCTGATACAGTCTAAGTCAGTTAGTACGATGGCTGGGAGAAAAAGCTGAAGAGTTAGGTGTGGAGATATACCCAGGATTTGCTGCTAGTGAGGTATTTCCGCATTTGCTTGGATGCTACTCCTCTATATTTATTATTATTTTTTAATGTATTTCCATGCCAGATATTGTATGATGCTAATGACAAAGTTATTGGTATTGGAACTAATGATATGGGGATTTCAAAAGATGGTTCGAAGAAGGAGAATTTCCAAAGCGGTGTTGACATTAAAGGTTTAATTTTGTACATTTCTTTATCTCGTACATATGTTTACGGCATTTGTCTTTGTTCTTGGAGCAAAAAGGTTTCAAGAACTAACAGTTGTCTAGCTGCTCCAGCAACTTGACTATGATTTGGATCCATAATTTTGCTCAAGCTCTTTATAAGGTGTAGTTGTTAACTATGTAAATGTAAATATTGAATCACACTTAGGTCGCATAACACTTCTGGCTGAGGGATGTCGGGGATCATTATCCGAGGTTTGAAAAGTAAATTTTAGGATTGGCTTATATTCTAGTTTTTCCTGTCAATTATGATGTTGATGGCAAAGCCTCCAATCCCCACCCCCTGTTCCCTACAGAAAATAATCAAACAGTACAACCTGAGAGAGAAGGGAGGTGCGGAACATCAGACATATGCTTTGGGAATTAAAGAGGTAAAACTACGCCACATATTTTTAAAGAAATTTGCAAAAAAAAAATAAAATTTGCATATCTATTTTTCATTGAAACCTTCAATCTGTCATGGTTCTGCTTTTTTATTCAGTTGTATGCATGAAGTATATTTGATTGTTGACTGTTCTTCTAATAACTGAGTATCATGGGTGCTTTCAATAATCGTATTTGCCACCATCACTTAGATTCTGCAAACTTATACTTTTAGGTTTGGCAAATTGACGAGGAAAAGCATCAACCCGGGGCAGTAATTCATACGTTGGGATGGCCTTTGGATAATAAAACATATGGAGGATCTTTTCTGTATCACATGAAAGATAGACAGGTAAGATTGGATCTGTATGGCTTGACTGCTACCCCATATTGTGATTAAATTATTGTTGTACTGCCATCACTATTCTGTGTTATATATCGAATAATAAACACTACAAAAATACACACGTAGCACAAAACTAACCTCACTGATTTTCTAATTTTATTTATGACCAGTCCAACTTGTTTCTATACCATTTGGTTGAGTTTCGCGGCTGGATGGTAGCTAATTTCTAGAAAGTGCTTGAACTCACTGCAAAACAAGATGATATATTTCGATTTGATGAATCCATTTTTCTCACCTTTTCATGGTTTTCTTTTCTGACTAGAAATCTATTAAACCAAATTATAAACTAATCATCTGCAGCTGTATTTGCAAACATTGAGTGAACCATGCAAGTTTATCTTTTCCTGCCAGTTTTTAGGTTCATTTATGCTGACAATATTTTCTTAATGTCAAGAATTTCATTTTCCATCATGACAGATTTCTTTAGGCCTTGTGGTCGCTTTGAACTACCAAAATCCTTTCATGAGTCCTTATGAGGAATTCCAGGTAGTTTTTCTTTTATTTTTACCTTCCGGTTATTTTTAAAGCACACAATTGAGTTTTCTTGTTGATCTTGCTTCATATTTTTTAAATATAGGAAAATCGGTAACGTTAATATATATCCGACTAGCCATTCTAACATTTCTTTTAAAGTGGTTTTCTGTCTTTGAACGACGCGTGTCTGATTTTTTTAAGAGATGTAACCTTCCCTTTAATGGAAATATTCAAATATGCTGTATTTGTGAACCTGGCATGCCCATCTTTACGTTTTGTCAGTCAATTGTTTCATTTTTCTAGGATGAGATCGCATGAGCTTTCTCTGATGCATGTGTATTTATACAATTTAAATGATTAGGATTTTGGGTAATGTCTGTCAGTGTTATGTAAGGTACATATTGGTTCGCCTAAGGAACGGTTTGCATGTTTAACACGTGAAGCCACTCTTACTCTCTTCTAAGTTGGTTTTCCATCGTCCTATTTATCAACTCAGTTGGTAGCTATGCAGGGACATCAGTTGCGGGGTTTCAGGTTCGAAGCCGCGACGTCCCACTTGTTCATCTTTAATGGGTGAACTCCAGCCACTAAGCTACTTGACAAAAAAAGATGATTTTCCATCTTTTTGTGAAATGCATTGTTCATTTTTCTTATATGCACCCGTATTTATGAAATTTATATTAACGAATTAACTCATTTACCTTTCCAAATTCATAGTTCACCAATCATGTTTTAGGTCATCTTGTGAAACTTTTGCTGCCTGGTTATGTTGATACACTATCTATCAGTTTAAGAATCTTAAAAGTTACATTACCTATTTTGATCTCAACTCATGGTCAATAAGTTTTGGCTCCTTTTTTCCCTATCCCACGTGTCTCATTTGATTGACCAGAAACTTAAGCATCATCCTGCAATCAAACCATTTCTGGAAGGCGGAACAGTTATCCAGTATGGAGCTCGCACTTTAAATGAAGGAGGTTTTCAGGTAATTAATAACATTCCTTTTTCTTACATGCAGTCAATTGGAAAACAAATGTCCCACAGATATGAAGCCTTTAGAAGTCTTGTGTTACAGGTGTATTAAGATGAAGGGTGCCAAAAAAATTTATTTTTGTATTTACCTAGTGGCCAACACATACTCAAACATTTACAGCGAGGAAAATAGGAGGTGATCCGGGTTTGAACCCGAAATTCCATTTAAAATGTCCTCATAGCCAAACCACTAGAGTGTAAAATCGGAAATGGAAGAAACATAGGCACTAAAACATGGACGCAACACAACAAAATTTAAGTGTCTGACAGTCCATGTAATCATAAGTGTCACACTGTGTTGACAAAGAGAGGTGGCTAGATTGATTCTCTGTTACCATATTAGTCCTTTGATTGCATGTTTTTTGTTCCAGCACATTATTTCTTCAATTTGCTACACATTATTTACAAACGTGACACTAGTTAAATTTCAGTCTATCCCATATCCAGCTTTTCCTGGTGGAGCAATTATTGGGTGTTCTTCTGGATTCTTGAACGTGCCTAAGATAAAGGGAACTCACACTGCAATGAAATCAGGTAAGGGATAGAAACATATTCTATTTTTTGCTGACGTTGATTTTGAGGTTTTAAGGAATGTCCGATTCTTTAGGGTCCTCTCCATTTTTATGTTTATTAAGCCAATCCATCATTTCTTACTCTTAGTTTAATCAACCATATATTGGGATACGCCTAGTTGTTGATGGTTCTGGTGCAAATAATAAAATTTCAGATTTTCTTTTATATAGACATGTCTAATAGACTGGCACTTGTTTGCAGGAATGCTTGCAGCTGAATCTGCATTTGGCGTGTTTAATAAAGGTCTAGATATGAATACATATTGGGATGCTTTGAGGAATTCGTGGATTTGGGAAGAACTATATAAAGCTCGGAACTACCGACCTGTTAGTGAAGCTATTCATTTTCGTTTTTCTGTCTTTACCTCTATTTGATCTTTTGTTCTCTTCAGATAGTTAGTCCTTTCATTTTTGAATCTTGAACTAAGAGGCCATCTCATCTTAAATAGCTACCATCCATTTTCTAACTTCTGAATAAATTATAATAATATTATAAATGATAACTTATGGGAAGATTTCTATTTCTTCCTAAACCATTTGGTAATTTATTGGTGATAGCTTATTAGTAAAGAAAATCCTTCAACATACTCATGGAATATGGGTTTTTTAGGCCTAATCCCACCCCAAAACCTAGCTAAGAGGCGAGGATTGCTTAAGCCTAAGAAGAACTAATTGGGCCATATCTCTAGTTAGTGTAGAGGATCTCAAAACATCCCCTCGCATTCCAAAATACACATTTGAAGTGGGACAAATGCGGGTGGAACACTATGGATCCCAAGTCTCAACAGTCCCTTGGATAGAACAGCAAAGGTCTTGGCCTAATAATTGAACTAGGGTATGTTGGATAGAACAAATTGTGATACAATCTTAGAATTTGAGTTTTAGGCCTAATTCAATTCTCAAGCTAGCTCAAGAGGTGGAAATGCCAAGCCTTATAAGGACTAATCTGATCTTTTCTCCGGTTGATGTAGGACTTCAACGCTTACAAAAATTATTAAATGATAATAGAAAGGTCAATGTGTAATTATAATCAATTCCTCAAACTTGTCCTAATTCATTTCTTCTGATACTTCAAAATATGTTATGTTTTAGTTTGTCAAGTTAGTATGCCATATTTACGATTGTGATATCTCTTATTGTAGGCCTTCAAGTATGGGCTTGTTCCAGGACTGGCATTTAGTGGTCTGGAACAGTAAGATCTAACTTTCCTTATGGATTTAGTCTTCTACATTTCAACACTGTAGAGTGCCATTTCCCTGCTCCCTATATTCTTGTCTTGGAACTTCACTTACCCTTGTGTTATTCCTATCAGTTACATATTCAAGGGGAGGCTCCCGGTTACTTTGAAGCATGGTAAACCTGATCATGAAGCAACAGATGTAAGAAACATTGTTCAAGGAATTAAGCTTGTGATGAATTTTGTTTTTTACTTAGTTTATTTACCATGTCTTAGCTGGTACAAAATGGTCTTTTTAATTACTGCTTAAAAACTATTTTAGAAGCCTTTTTCCATTGAATATGCAGAGATACTAGGGTGCTTTGCTTTTATTATGTGTGTTTTGTGTTCTAATAAAATATTGCAAATCCTTTTGCATGTTAGTGTGAAACTAATACTTTTTTTTTACATTTATGCAGGCTGCAAAGTTGCATTCTCCAATTCACTATCCAAAGGCTGATGGTGTCTTGTCTTTCGATGTACCTACCTCTCTGCACAGGTATTGGAACATTAATTCCCTCCTATTTCTTACTAATAAGAATTGAATGTCATAATTTTTCAAATCTTGAAGTCGCATTCTAAAAAAAAAATAAAGCCGCATGGTTGTATTTCTGATCTTATGATTTAATGAATTTTTCAAAGATCGCATATTGAGGGGTTGTAGAGGAGGGAACTCAAATTGAAAGCCAATTATTTCATTTACACAGCAGTTTACAGATAATATCCTAATTTTTAGGTAAAAGAGCCTGCATAATACTGTTTTTATTTCTCTTATAAGTAATAATTTTATCCACCTTCCACCCATCCTTCACAAATATGAAATTGATGGCTTTTAGGAGCCATGCTAATTTATTTGTCGTAACAAAAAGTTCACCCTTCTAATTTAAGAAGAATTCATTTGTCGTAACATAATTTATTCTATTACGTTAATCTTATCCAATTAATGTTAAGGTCAAACACAACATACTTTATTGGCAATTTCAATGTCTAAGAACCATATTATATTAGATGACACTTCTTTTTTATGTTTTGAATGAAGATCAATTAAATGTGCACTGATTTATATATGTCGAAATTGCTTGTCCTTCTCTTTTTAGGGCTTTGATAAATGATGACAATGTTGGAAGTTATTGAGTTATTTGCCAATATGCATAGTTTCAAGCTCATTACATTGCTTCATAGACATCTATATTTTGTTTATATACAGAAGCAACACAAATCATGAGCATGATCAACCTCCGCATCTTCGATTGAAGGACCCTAAGGTTCCTGAACTTACAAATTTACCGGTGTATGCTGCTCCTGAGTCACGATATTGTCCTGCACGAGTATACGAGTAATGCCCACTTACTACAGCTTGGTTTCAGCTTGGTTTCAAAAGGATTTTTAGTTTCTAAATCATTCTGATATTTTTCACCCATCCTTCTCAAATATAGGTATGTTGCAGATGAGAAAAATCAACTGAAGTTGCAGATTAATGCTCAAAATTGTTTGCATTGCAAGGTAAGTTTTCAGACAGATTTGGAGGATTTTATGTTTAATCTCTATTCATCATTTTTTTCCGAATCTTTTATATCCTGCACGGTTTAATTCAGCGATTTGATATTCAGGCTTGTGATATCAAAGATCCAAAACAAAACATCAAGTGGACAGTGCCTGAAGGGGGTGGCGGCCCGGGATACTCAGTAATGTAGATCTGGGAGTTAGTTATATATTGTTGTCCCCCCAAATTGCGGATTCCTTGATGTTAATGCATTCACCTGAATTATACATTTGTAGTTGTAGCATAGTCCCCCTTTTCTTTCTAATCCATACACATCAACCAAACTGGTCGTGTCAAAAGAGGAATACTACAGGAAAAAGTTACTAGTGAAATAAAAAAGTTGTCGAGGTTACTCATCTTAAAAGACAACTAGCACGTTAGATTATTTTATTTCAATTAGAATCTTAAAGATTTGTTGGACTATTTTTCAAAAATAATTAGAATCTTACTGGTGAGTGTTTTAAGAATATTGTGTCTTAAAAGAATATTATGTAAGTATTGCGAATTTTCAATTAAAAAATTAAGCATATCTCTTTCCAATATATTAAACACACAAATTTTCATAAAAATGTACTCTTTTTTTACTTATTAAACAATATTTTTAGGACCCCCTATCAGCATTTCCCAATTTTTTTTTTGGCTAGTGTTTTCTGCACTTAAATTTAAGCAAGTAAATTTAGCAGTATTACTATAAAAAAATACAAAGGTTTGATAGTTCTTAGTTAATGTACTGAAATTCATTTTCTTTTAGATTTTTGAAAATCAGGATCATTCAATAATTTTTTGTTGAATAGATCGTTCTTCATGTTTCATATGTCAAACATATGTCTGTTTAACTATATGCTACTTTGTATGTGTTGTATAACAGTATATATCTTGCTTATAAGTACTTGCATGGATAAATATTTATCTAAAGTAATTGTGGCTTTGCACTTGCTGTTAAAATATGAAATTATATACATCAGTATATATCTTGTACAAAACATGCAAAAGGAACTTTCTTATGAAGTTTTGTTGTTTAAAGAGCATCAAATGAGCTCTCACAAATTACTAAGTTTCAAGATTATAAAATATAAATATTCTTGATTTAATTTGTAATTTTTCGTACTGTGTACTATTGTACCGTGTTAATATTATATTCTTTCCTTCTGCACTTCAGAGGTTTCTGCGAATATGAGATTAGAAGCGGGAACATAACATAAGGTCTTTAGAACTTCAAGTCTTCAGAGTCTTCAAAACTGTGTCTCCAGAGTCTTCAGCACTTGGTCGTGAGAACCCGTTGTAGTGAACATTTAGATCAGAAGAGTTTCAAATCTTCAGAGTCTTAAGAACTGTGTCTTTAGAGTCTTCAGCACTTGGTCTTCAGAACCTGTTTGTAGATAACCTTAGACCATTAGAACTACAAGTCTTTAGAATCTTCAGACCTTTTGTCTTAAAATCTTTAGCACTTGGTTCTTTAAGAATCCTTATCTTCAGAACCTTGTTAATAGAAACACAAAGTCTTCAACATCTGGACTTCAGTTAAAAACGTTGTCTTCAGGTCTTTTAACTTTGTCTTCTTTGAAACAAGTTACCTTTTAGAAACTAAGTTTTTAGCATCTGGACTTCAATAGAAATTTTGTCTTCGGATCTTCTAACTTTGTTTTTTAAAACACATTGTCTTTTAGAAATGTGAGTCTTCAGCATCTGGACGTAAGTAACAACTTCAGTCTTCAGATCTTCAGATTGATTTTTTTAGAACACGTTGCCTTTAGAAGCTTGAGTCTTCAGCATCTGGACATAAGTAACAACTTCTGTCTTTAGATCTTTTGACTGATTTCTTCAGACAAATATTAGAGCTTACACTTTAGAGCCTTATGAAGTGTCTTGCTACTGTTCAACAGAACTTGTGTAGCATAGAAGCAGAATCAATTCTCTTCTAATGTCTTGACCACGCCATTCATCAGAAGTAGAACATGTTTGTTAAGTACTTAGCAATAATAAACATTAGCATAACAAAATTATTCATACAATCAAACCCATGTGTTATCATTAAACTCATAGATAATATTGCAGAATCAAATCTTGTTCTTACAATCTTTCCCTTTTGATGATGACAAAACTATGTGTTTTAATGACACAATTTTGTACATATAATCATAATAAGTGAAATTAGAAGAGTAAAAAATAATTATCCTTTTTCTGATACTCCCCCTGAGTCAATGACTAGATGAAGATCGAATATCCTGACCCTGAATCATTTGAGTAAAAAATTCCCCCTGATTCTAATAGATCAGATATCAAGATCTTAAGAGTCTTGATTTTGGATGCTGATAGACAAATTGAGATCTTGATTTCACACAACTTCTTTATTGAATCTTTGAAATTCTAATGTGACTAAGACATCTTTCAGATTCTTAATAGATTCTCAATTTTGGAGTATGATTTCAAGTTTCACTTCTTGAAGTCCAATTATGAATTGAAGAACATCTTCAAAGTCTAAAATCAACAGGTTAGACATAAACTTTGAATAGTGTTTTCAGATCTTTGTCTTTTTAATCAGAGTTCTAATTTAATGAAAAAGAAAAACAATTCTAACAGAAACAAGAGTTTAACTGGATTAGAATGTAAGCGCTCTTTTCAAAGAACATTTTCTAAAACTTGATTATTGAAATCAAAATTACGTTCATTTAAATTATTCCCCCTTTTTGTCATAATAAAAAAAAGTAATTATGTGTGAAAAATATAAAAACCAGAAGAAATAATCAAGAAAAGATAAGAAGTTTCATTGATGTGTCAATAAAAAATTTCATTAAATTTAAATGGTCACATGATAGGTAAGTCAAAAGAAGTAGAACAAATCAGAATCCAAAAAGAAAAGTCTTGCAGATATCAAATAAATATAATCCTATGATTTTAGAAACAAACATGAAAAATCTTAGAGTATAAGGTTCAAAAGTTAAAGGAGCAGATGATGAGGGCTCAAATATTTTTGTCAAAATCATCTTGAACATACTTTGAACAGATTCATTGACTTTGTCCTGAGATTTGAAGTTTTCCATGAACATTTTATGCTCTTTCCTTATTTCATTAATGGTTATCTTCAGATCACACTCAGACTCAGAGTTGGAAACCGTCAAAACTTGTTGCTTACCCTTTTCTTCAGCAGCCTTTGTAGCTTCTGCAGTTAATTTGGCTTCCTCGTCTTTTCAGGCTTCTCCAGCCTCGTTTAGCATTATAACTTCTGCTTCTCTTTGTTTTGCAACAATTAGTTTAATATATCTAGCTTTTTCTCTTGTTTCTTTTCTTTCCATAACCATTTCAACATCCACAATTCTGGATGTTTCAACAAAAGAGTTTATTCTTTCAAGTTCAGAGGACATCCACTTTTGAAATTTCTTTCAAGAACCATCCATGTCTTGAGGTTCAGTATTTGTAATTGCCTTTGCTTTTAACTTAGTAATCATTTTCTTAGCCTTGATTCTAAAGATCTTAATGCATTCATCCAAGGTTTTTGGAACAGATTTTTCATAGACAACTATGGTTAGGTCTTTTTCAAAAGGAATGACTTCAGAAGTGATAGGTTCGGTTTGATTAAGTTGTTTAGTTAGATCGAAAAAATTAGACATAGAGCAGGGTTCAGTTGTTGGGTTTGCAAAGTTTTCAAAATCATCAGAGATTATTCTCTCAGATATTTCAGGAACAGAGGGAGAAATTTGATCAGGATGGACAAGGGGTGAGTCATGAAGAGTGTTTTCTTTATTAAAGAAAGTGAAGTGAAGATTGGTGTCAAAAGTTGATAAATGAGAAGTATGTGTAAGTAATTGAGACGAGGTTAATTAAGATGTAGAGGTGTGTATTGGTTTTGATGGAATGAAGGTAGTGAGAGATGGAATAGAATTTGAAGCAATAGGAATCTCCGTTGAAGGTTAAGATGAGACGTTTTGAGGTAACAATGAGACATATGGAGAGGATAAGGTAGAGATGGGTTGAGACGTTATGGGTGTAGAGATGAATGAAAGTAAGTTGGAAATGTGTGCGGTTGATGAGGCTGCAAGGTCGGAAGTGGTTGTGATGTTTTGAGTAGAAGAAATTATTATTTCAAGTATAGTTGTAGATATAGTTTTGGAAACAAAAATTTCGATAGTTAAGGGAACAAGATAAAAAACATGAATAATTATGGTAGATGGTGGAAGATGACTAATTTGTGCAGTGGAGGTTATGGATGAGCATTCATTAACAAAATTAGATATAGATAAAGAAATAGGTACAGATCTAGCAGTAGCAGACTTACTTGTTGTTTATAAATAAGTAGTTAGGGTTTCAGTCTTAGAAGTTTTTGACTTCTTCTTCTTCTTTCCGGGTTCAGAAGCTTCTGAATTCTTCTTTCTTTTAACTTTGGAAGAGTCAACATACTCTTGAGCATGAGGTAAATCAGAATAGTTGAAACTGGACATATCATGTCCTTCTGCTTCCACCATTTTAACGTAAATAGTAATGCTATACATGTAATCTCCCTTGGTAAACAAACGGTAGTCATTTACAGGAATTCTCGTGATTTTGATACTTTTAGAGGGAACAGGTAGAGGTTTAGAAACGACTTCCTCTATCAGCCTCATATTCTTCGGAGTTTGTCTATTGAAGGAATCTCCAAGACTAGAAGTCAGATCCTCTGTAAACTTAGCTTCTTCTACCAGAGTTTTCACCAAGCCACTTTCTACCAGGATGTTAGTGATGAGACGTCCAAAAGGAATATAGTTGGAAACCTTCTTTTTGGGATCATCAGTGGTTCTGGTTTTTGAAATAGAGTATCTCAAATAATGAAACAGAAGAGTTGGAAGACACATTTTCTAATGGGTCATCAAATAGTACAACATGTACTTCTGATTTACGTTGAAGTAGTCAGAAGAACTGGATGAAGGTTTAGGGTTTATACGATTTAGAATGATTTTGTGCCAGATTCTAAGTATGTCATGGAGATCTTTACTTTTATACTCATTTTTCTCGGGAGAGTAGTTCTTGAAGAGGGCTTTGTTAATAGTCTCCTTTACAAATGTGGATTTGTTATTCATCTTATAAATTTGTTTTCCTTCAAGATATCGTATGCCCAGAAGATCACCAATAGACTTTTCAGTAATGACAATTTTCATACCCAACACATGAGCAACTACA